CCTAACAGGCCTGTTTCCGACGCGCTGTCCCGCAGGGTCACCTTGTGGGAAGTGCAGGGGCATCAGAGAGTGACGCCTTGTGGTAGCAAAGAGCAATTGCATCAACGGCCGCAGCCCGGAACTTGGGGAGCTGGGCTTCTCCCCAACACGCGGGTGTCCGCAGTACTTTGTCACATAAACCCTAGGGTCCCCGGCAGTCCAGAGAAGAGGGAGCTCCAGGGAGGCGGTAACTGTCTAACTCATCAGAGCTGGAGCTAAAGGCTAGCTGATTTTTTTGAAATTTTATTACGGTATGATTGATATACACTCTTACGAAGGTTTCACATGAAAAAACAATGTGGTTACCACATTTACCCATATTATCATGTCCCCACCCACACCCCACTGTCCACCAGTGTAGAAGATGCCACAGATTCACTGTTTGCCTTCTCTGTGTTACACTATTTTCCCCGTGACCCCCACACCATGTGTACTAAACGTAATGCCCCTCAGTCCCCTTCGCCCTCCCACGCCCCTCCCCTTTGGTAACCGCGAGTCCCTTCTTGGAGTCTGTGAGTCTGCTGCTATTTTGTTCTAAAAGCTAGCTGATTTTAATTGCATTTACTTTGGGAAAAATTTTCAAGGCATTCTACTGGTTGTGGTGCAGTTCATACCACGTCATATGCAGAGAAAAAAGAATGAAAAGGAACCCCCCCCCCCAATGGTAACAGAGGTCGTAGGTGGGTGTTGAGATTCTGCATTATTTTTATTATCTTTTTTGAGGTGTCTGTTTCCCAAAATTTCAACAAGGAGCATATATCAGTTTTGCTATTTTGTTTTGACAGAAATATTCATTTTTCTCATACAAAGGTGTACTAGGGCATCTTACTGTGACTTTTTTAAAATTATTTTTAAGACTATTTTTTAGAGCTTCAGGCTCACAGCAAAATTAAGAGGAAGGTACAGAGATTTCCCATATATCCTCTGTCTCCACACATGCACTGCCTCCCCTATTACCGACACCCCTACCAAAGTGGGGACATCTGTTACAACTGATGAACCTACACTGACTCGTCACAGCCACGCGAGGTCCACAGCTTACCTTGTGGTGCACTTTGTGTTACATTCTGTGGGTCTGACATGCATCCCTCGCTTGAGTATCACACAGAGTGTTTCCACTGCCCTAAAAATCTTCTGTGGCCCAACTGTTCATCCTTTCCTGCCTTCCCCACTCAAAGCCTGGCAACCACTGCTTTTTTTTACTGTCTCCATAGTTTTGCCTCTTCCAGAATGTCACAGACAGTATGGAGTCTCTTCAGATTGGCTTCTTTCACTTAGTAATGTACACTTAAGGTTCCTCATGTCTTTTCATGGCTTGCTGGCTCATTGATCTTTAATATGCCATTGTCCGGACGGACCACAGGATGTTTATCCATCACTTACTGAAGGGACACCTTGGTTGCTTCCAAGTTTTGGCAGTTCTAGACAAAGTTGACATAAATATCTATGGGCAAGGTTTTTACGTGGACATAAGTTTCCAGTTTCCTTGGGTAACTACCAAGGATAGTGACTGCTGGATCCCAGGGTAAGAGTGTGTTTAATTTTGCAAGAAACCACCAAACTGTCGTGTGGCTGTACCATCTGCATTCCCACCAGCAAATGAGAGTTCCGGTTGCTCCAAATCCTCATTGGTGTTTTTTATTAATACAAAAAGGTTTAAGAGGAAATGACATAAAATTCCTCAACTCCATTATTATTATTTTTAAAGTGAAATAAATGCACACACATGAAGAAATGTCAAACTTCTTAGGAAACTATAAAATTAAAGGTAAAAAGGTCTCTCTCCTGATTTCCAGTCCTTGCTACAGCTAATCACCAGCCACAACTTCCTTGTCTATGCAACAAGAAAAATGCATTAGGTATCTCTCAGAGTATATATTAAATGGCTCTTTCCTTTCCATTTTTTCACAAGATGTATCATATATGCACACTGGCTTTTGTACCTTGCTTTTTCACCCACCTAAATATCTTTCCCTTTTGGCATGTAGAGAGGCTCATTTTTAAAAAGGCTAACTAGAATTCCAAGGTATAGATGTCCCAAACATTATTGATCAAGGCCTCTATCATCATTTAAGTCATTTTTTTTTTCCTGGTTGTAAATATTGCTGTAATAAATCTTTGTACATATCTAGGCACATTTTTATGATACGATCTATCATATATTCCTAGCAATAGAATTGGTGGTTTGCCATCCAAAATGACTACTCCAATTTATACTATCATCAACAGCCGGAGAATGAAATATTTTTCTGTCAACACTACTGTGTATTATCACACTTGAAAATTTTTGCCCATACAAGTGAAAAGTGCTATCTTTGTTTTGATTTGCATTTAGAAATTACTAGTGAGGTTGAGTTTTTCGCCCCCTTTCTCTCTGTGACCTGCTTATTCTTATCTTTTGCTCGTTTTTCTATTGAGTTATTGGTATTTTTCATGTTCATTTGTATAAACTCAGTGAATTAGAAATTAGCCCTTTGTTGGAAATAGAAATATTTCCCCGCTTTGTCACTTGACTTCATTTATCATCTTTTATGCTATGCAGACCCACTTAGCTTTGTGTGTTTCAGATTTATTTTTCTTCCTGGTTTCTAAGGGCGTTTGTCTTATAGTTTTAAAAAATTCATCTTGCTTGTGTGTGTGTGTGTGTGTGTGAGAGAGAGAACACATCAAACCCACAATAGTCAAAGCCCATTAGGGGAAAGTCCGTGGCACCAAACCATTCCATGGGGATGTGTCCACCTCCCAGGCCATGTGGCTCAGTACATCTCATAGTCAGTGGCTCCAATATTTGTGAGGCTTCAGGGCAGCAGTCCAGTCCCACAGGCCAGTTAGGGAACTTGTCCTGAAACCTCTTTTGCGTGCCAAGTACATGCCAAGTTTTTACTGCAGTTTACAAGACGTTTTTTTCTTTTTCTAATGGTCAACTATTTTAATGATAATTTTCTTTCTAGAAATTAAGCAGCCTAGGGATTATATGTATATACACAAACATGTACATATACACACACACACGTGTGTGTGTGTGTGTGTACGCACATGTATCTAAGTTTTTTCCTGTTTTCTTCCTATCTTTCTATTTACCTAGTCTGTACTTGTAATAGCTTGGGGGGCACCCTGATTATTCTGGAGCTAAATTCCCCCTCAAATGCACCCTGCCTCAAGCCGCCTCAGGCCCTGCTGTGCCTGTTCATCTGGGCACGGGGCCGCTTCCGGAGTCATTCTGCCCAGCCCGGAGTCCCCTGCCCCTTCCCAGAAATATCCTTGAATAGAGCAGTTCAGAAGAGGGCGTGGGAACTGGCGGAGGTTGGAATCCACTCTCCCCATTCTTCCTGGCACGAAGGGGCTGGAGAGGCCCAGGCCAGTGCGGGCCAGCTCTGAGGGAGAAGCCTCCGTGTACCCTGAGCAGCAACACGCGGTCCGCAGGGCCTCCTCCTGTCACACCGACTACAAACAGCCGTGAAAAACAGGAAAAAGTGATACAGGCCTTCTTTGGTGGCAGGGATGGAGGGTGGGGGTGTGTGAAAAGAATTCCATTCTAAAAAATACTCCCACCCTAGCTCTTCATTTTACATGGGCATGTGTCATGTGGTGCCTAATTTCACAATTATTCTATGATACTTGCTTGGGCTGAATTTTATTCTTTCCTCATTAAAATAAATGCTTCTTGATCCCACTCCCTCGTTTCCCTTCTTGTCTGGACAGTCCCACTGGACAAGTCCCCCCTTTTCCTTGTGGTCAGGCCAGCCACACACAGCCTGCAACACTGTCCATTCCAGTGACCTTTTCCCACTCACATTTAGTGGCCCTGACACTGCGGCACAGCAAAAATGGGATACACACGCTTTGCCTGACCAGAGACTCCCTCCCCCAAGGTCGAGGAAGTAGGCTGGATAAAGTAACCATGTGGGGCTTGGGTGGGGGGAGTAACTTCCTGCATCCTCGCAGCCCAAAGGCCCTCTGCCTCAGTGCCTGGGCCTCATCCACTCAGGGGTCACTGGCCTTGACCGTGACCAGGCCTTACAGAACCATTCGCCCATCCCCATCCTCATCATCTCATCAATTCTAGGTGACCTGGGAGGGCCCTGGGGGCCTTAGGCTGAGCAGTCCCTGGGGCAAGATCTCCTCTGGCTCTGCAACTAAAGACAAGTAATGACACAGATAGTTTCTGCCGGCCCAGGTCGCTCTGATAGGCCTGCGGTCTCCAGAGCAGGCGAAGCCAGGGGCCAGACTCAAAGCCCTCTCACCACGGAGGGCCCACACAGGCATGCGATTTAGGCTCAGCCAGCCAAAGGCTCTTTCCCTGGTCTTAGAACCTCAAGAGAAAGGTGGCAAAAAGAGATGGCTGGAGTATCGCACCAGGCGCACGGCTGGGTGGGCGGGCTGGGCTGACTCTGCTAAGAGAGTGTTGAAGTGGCTCCTCTGGACTTATCCTGTGTTTCTTGGTTTTCCAACTGTTTTCAAGCCTGATCCTTCAGCTCCTATTTACTTGGTGAATTCCTGGATATTCTTTCAATAAGTCCCTTGTACTTAAGTTAACCAGAGTAATTCCCTGAAGCTTTTAACCAAGAATGCTTCCTGGCAGAAGAGAGCCCCTGTCACCTCTGAGGTCTGGCTGATGGAAAAAGGAATTGCTTGCAGAAGCAGCCTTACTGTCCGAGCTGGGCTGTGTTTCTAGGCTTGCTCACTGTCCCAGGCTGGTCTTCGTGCACTGGTTTGTCTGCCAGGACCACTATGCCATGAATTGGTCTTCAGTGTGATGTGCCCTCTATCTAAACCTGGGACAGTTGACAATGGCCAGGACTAACTTCCTGGAGAATCAGGGACAAGGCAGAGATGGCTGGCTCCAGGATTCTCCCATGACATGACAGTGCCAGTTTCCTGTGGCCAAGGATGGGTTTGGGATAGAAGCAGAGGTAAATGAACTCTTAGACTGCTAGGAAGTTTCAGCAGTGCCCCCTCACAAACAAACAAATCTTTTCCCATTTGTGTAAATTTCCATTCCTAGTAAGGATGGAAATGTGGAGAAACACATCTTTGTTAATACAGGATCATCATCGTTCCGCATCAGGGCCCGGGGAGCAGGCTTCTCACACCAGCCTGGAGGTGGTGCTGTTTGCCTATGGCCAGTTTGGGCTAATAAATCAAGATGCTCCGGGGGATTAGCATGCAACCTCACGTTGCATCTACATACTTGGACTAATTAAGGGAGTTATTTAGTGAAAAATGGTCAAGTAATCTTTGGAGTGGCATATAGAACTTTCTAAGAATGACAAAAAACTCAGAAGCTACAAAAAGACAACACTGAGAAATTTGAAGGCAAAAATGCAAATTTCTATATTAAAAGAACAGCAAACTGAGAAAAATAGCAAATTCTGTGATAAAGAATAATTTTAATATAGAAAGACAGCAAAGAATTATTAACCCTCAGTCTTTTTGTAGGTCTTGCTCTCTAGGAATGCTGATCACTGGAGAGGTGGTGTAAGATATTTATATCTTACAAATAAATTCAATTTAAAAAGAGAAGGCAATATGATCAATCAGGTGAGAGGAAACGAGATCAAAAGTACCAATAAACACGAAACATTCCTCACTCAAGAAATGAAAGTTAAAACAAAAAATGTAGTCATTTGATCGTGTGCCTCCAAAAACCGCTTTGCATAAATATACACAACTGTTTGTCACAGACCACTAAGAGTGACTCGCTCTCCATTCTTACACTTCCCCCTTGGGTTTCCAGGCAGTTTCTCGCCTGTTGTCACCAGCGTTGGGGCAGCCATTTCTTCAAGAGCACCAGGTCCGTTATGGGAACGCATATGGGAGATAGAGGTCAGCGTCCACTCGCACCTGTCGGTGTTGGGACTGGCTGTAAGAAACGCCGGGATGCGAACTACGATGGAGGCCAGCAGGTGCGCCGAGGCGGTGTCTGCCCGGGAGGCGAGGGTGGGGCACCGCGGCAGGAGAGGAGGGAAGGGGCTTTCGTCCAAGTAGGGGAGCACGTGCGAAAGCCCGGGGCGGGCGTGCACCTGCGAGCCGGGGGCAGGCCGTCGGGCTCGGGCGCCCAGGGACTTGTCCTGCGCGGATTCCCTTCCTGCTGCGGGACTGACTTCGGCCGTCGAGGGGCCTGACCATAGTACTTGTCACGCAGGTCACTGCTGGAGAGCTCCCTCCATCCCACTATAGCTTCTTACAGACAAATATATACGGAGGCCTTAGAGAAGTGCCGTGATCTGTCCCAGGCCACTGCCTTGGCCAAGCTTGGGGTCCCAAAGGCCGGTCGGCGTGTTCTCCTGCCCCTGGCGGGCGGGCACCAGCTGCTCTGTCAGCCCCAAACTCGCGGGCGGCTCGCTCCGGGCGGTCGCGGAGGACTACACCTCCCACAATGCCGCGGCCCGCCCGCCGGGCATCTCCACCAATAGGAAGGCAAGATTTCCAGCGGCTAGTCTTTCCTGCCAATGAGCGCGGCGCGGGGCGGGCCTCCCCGTCCATTGTTCTCGGGGCCCTTCGGGCTGGAGCCGCCGAGGATCCGCAGAGGCCGGCAGTGCCCGGGGCGCTTTGCCCGCGGAGCGTCCGCCGGAGCGGACTCGGCCTCCGGACAGGTGAGTCCCGGGAGGGAGACCTGGGCCGCGCGGGCCGGGGAGGAGCCGGGGGCGAGGGAATAACGGGCCCGGAGCCAACGCGCAGTCCGCTGGGGGAGGGGCGTCGGGGGTGCTGCCGCCCGCGGGCCGGGCCGCGGGGTCTCCGCCGGGCCGCTCGGCGAACCCACCCGCTCCTCCCGGGCGGCGAGCTCGGCGCACACTGAGCTGGGCGCGTGGCTCGGGTGGAAGGCACGCCCGTCGCCGTCCCGCGCAGCCCTTTCTGCAGGAGGGGAAACTGAGCTTCGGAGGGGGCGTGCCCGGCCCGGGTCGCGCCGCGAGGGCGCGGGCGCGGGGCAGTCGGCGGGCCCCTGGGGGGCTCTGCCTGCTTGTACAGCCGCTGCCGTCCGGCAGACGCACGTGCAGAGTCGCGGTGTTCACACCAGCTCTCCCTTTTTGTTTTCTTTCTTTAGCTTTTCCTTCTTTTTCCCCCCCTTTTTCCTCTCTTGGTCGGAGCGGGGGTCAGGGGTTGTTCTCAATCCTTTTCATGTAGTAAGGCTTTTAAAAAGTAGTTTTGTAATTTGACTGTTGTCAACATTTGGTAGAATTTCCGTCTAGGTTTTTTTTTCCCCGTGTGTATGGGTTCATTTTTAAAGGAAATTGGGGTCATACTGTGTCTATGGTGTTTCTGCTTTGCTGGTTTTGTTTTTACCCATAATGTCCATGTTTTGAGGATTCTCTTAAATCTTTAGTGGTTAATAATCTGTCAGCATAATTTTAAAAATATTTAAAAATACATACAGCTGAGTGCACAAATCTTAAATTTCCTATGTGTGCTCTTGTGCAACTGTTGTCAGATCAAGATATAGAACATTTCCAGCACCCCAAAAGGTTCTTGTGAGCCCCGTCTCAGTTGGTACCCCTGCACAGGTAGCCGTAATTATGTCAGCATAGTTTTTAATACATTTTACTGTATGGATGTGCCATAATTTGTTGTAGTCGGGGACCGCGAAAATGAGAAACCGAGTCAGAATGACGAACGTTTCCCGGTTCCCCCTCCTCAACAATAATTTATTAACCATTCCCCTGCTACAGGATTTTTAAGGTGTGAATTATTATTATTATTTTTTGCAATTAGAAACAATGCTATGGTGTATGTCCTTGCAAGTAAATTTCTCTTTACAAAGATGGTTATTTTTAAAGAATAATTCCTGAGGGACCAAGGCTGGACGGAAGAGTATGAACATTTTAAAACTTCATACCTTAAAATACTGTAGTAACGCAGTTGAGATGCTGCCTTTCTTCCAGTGAGAAGTGGGAGTGGCAGAGTGTCTCGGCGTCTGATCCATTGCTAATCTGTAAAATAAGAAGGGTGGGTGTGACTATCTCTGCGTATTAGGTGGTCACTGAGGTTGAGTGACAGTTCATAGGAGGTCTAGGTCACTCACTCTGCAACAAGTGGGAGCCTACTGAGGGCAGGGTGACTCAGTTCTGGGTTCTCACAAGGGCTTTGAAGTTCTGTTTTATGCTGTGGTCTTTTGGAGAGAGAAACGGTATATTTTTTGTGCTTGTGATTCTTAACTTCTACTGCCATAGACAGATGTTCAGGGATAAAAGCCATTTTTTCCTTTGAGACAGGAAACTTGTGTTGATTTGAGGATGTAAGAATCATTAGGTGGCCTGACCTGGGCTGCTGTGAGTTAGATCCTTTTTAGAGCAGTCTACTTACTGATTCTGGTTCCCCTTCTCATTTCTCAGCCAGACTACTTGTTGAAATTTGAGGAGGGCCTGGCTGGAGAAGACTGAAGTTCAAGGCCAGAAGCCTGAGCCATTGCCCAAAGATTGTGGATGATGGCTGCAGAGGTGCCGAGGGTAACCCCTCCCCTGAGCTCCTTGGTCCAGGTGCCTCGAGAGGAAGACGAGCAGGAGGCGGAGGTCACCACCATGATCCTGGAGGGCGACTCTTGGGTGCAGGAAGCAGTACTGCAGGAGGAGGGCCCCGAGCCCCTGTCCTTCTCCCAGAGCACCGGCAAGGGCAGCCTGCGTGAGGACGCGGCAGGAGGGCCGCAGGGGGCACTCAGCCGCCTTCGGGAGCTCTGCCGGCGCTGGCTGAGGCCAGAGGTGCACACCAAGGAACAGATGCTGACCCTGCTACCGAGGGAAATTCAGGCCTGGCTGCAAGAGCACCGACCCGAAAGCGGCGAGGAGGCAGCGGCCCTGGTGGAAGACTTGACCCAGACCCTTCGAGGCAGTGGTGAGATGCCTGAACCTCACGGGGAGAGGGTGGGGCGGCCCTCCGAGGGGAGAAGGTGGTATTGGGGATGGAGTTTTGGCCCCGGCCCTCCGCTGTGTCTGCAGGCACTCAGCACACTGACACCCTTGTTAATGCCTTTGTATGTAATGGCAAACCAAATGTTCCAGAGTTTCAGTATAAGAGCAGCTTAGCAGACTATTCTTGGAGATGTATTTGCATAGTAAGGACAGTTTTTATTTCTGTGTTTATTTGGAGTGGCTGGGAAGCTGATGGGGGTGGGGCTGAAGACCCTATAAACCAGCCTTGGGCACTTTGCTTGATTGTGTAATAAGCATCCAAATATTTGAAGTTCCAGCAATTAGAAAAACCAAATAATCCTGTTTTTAAAAGTGATTATTTTTATGAAACCAAGATGAATGACCAGTAAACCAGCTAATTGCTAGTTTCTGTGCTGTAAAGTCATCCTGCGCTTCTAAGAGTCATTTCCTACTTGAGCTCTTTGAATGGTTTGTGTGTGTGTCTCCTGCGTTCCTAATACATCCTGGGATCCAGGCCGGCCATTTGACTACTCCCGTCTCCACTCCGGTCTTCAGCTGTCACCTGGACTGCAGTGATTACAGACATTTACTGCGGGTCTCCCTGTGCCCCTCGGACTGTTTCCGGACCCGTGGAAAACGGCTGCCTCTGTGCTGATGAGAACTGTAGATGTTCAGAAAGGGGCTGGGGAGAGGAGAGGTCAGGGAAGGCCTCACGGGGGACGTAGGCCTTGTGTCGGAGGTGGCGGGCTGCTGCTGCTGCGGCAGAATGTGGAGCGGCGCACAGCAGGAAGGAGGGTGTGGGGACAGAGGCTTGGACAGTGTGGCTCATCCGTTCAGGTGACAGGAAGGCTGGCCGATTGGAGTGGAAAGTGTGTTTTTAGGAAGTAGTCTGGGGGAAGGGTGGGTGGAGGCTTGGACTGAATGTCACGGCCTCAGCAGAACTAGAGCCCAAGGGGTATGGGAGGGAGCTGCATTTGGCAGCAGGATGTAGGTTTGATTAGGAGGGAGAGGCTGGAGGCAGAGAGCAGCCAGGAAGCTGCCTGGACACGGGCTGTGGCCGAGGTAGGGCCAGCACGGGAAGGGGAGGAGAGGGACGCATGTGAGAAAGAGCCCGTAATTACCGATAGCTAGCATGAGCCCGTCCCTTCCTGTGGACCCAGCAGTGTGCCTGGCATCTGATAGGCAAAACTCTGGGAAACTTACCCCCCTTGGAGATAAGTGAGATTATTTCCACCAGAGAAATTAAGTGACTCCCTTAAGACATGCAGCTAGTATGAGGCCGAATTAGGATTTGAACTTGTGGTTCTGAGGACATGGCCCATATTCTTAAGCATTTCCTCACATCTGTGATGCACGGTGATAGTTCCCAGTGTGATGTTGGAAAGAGGGGATGCAGATGAGAACTAAGACGAAGGTGACCACCTCAGAGGCGGCGAGCCCGGAGGATTCAGAAGGCTGGGAAGAGAAGAAAAGGCAAGAGAAGTGACAGCTTTCATTTTGGGGGCAGAGGTTGTGACAACTCCCAGGGACTTGGAGATATGGGTAAAGCTATCCTTTGGAGAAAGGGACTGACACTGACAGCCGCTGTGAGCCCACCCTGCATGGGCACCTGACCTGTCAGTCTCATCAGCCGTCCCCTGGGGCAGGTGGGATGTCATTTTACAGTTGAGGAAATGGAGGTTCAGCAAAGTCAAGCCCTTAACTCAAGGTCACACAGCTGTTAAGAGGTGGGACCAGGATTCAGATACCCAGTGTTTGCTTCCACATGTGTTTAGTAGAACCTAGGTTTTATTTGAAGCAAAGTACCTAATTTTCTTTGGCCCTGAAAAATAAGTTTTAATTTTGCTTTTCCTATTTAAAAAACGAAAACATCTCATCCTATTTAAAAGCTTTGTTTCCCTGCCTCCTGATGGATGTGACAAGTTTGTAATGAACTTCAGGATCTTCAGTGAGAGACAACGAGAGGCCAGAGGTGCTGAGGGCTGAGGAGAGGCTCCAGGGTGGTTTGGCTGGGGAGGTCACCAAGTGGAGGGTCAGGTCTCAACAGGTGGCTTGAGGTGACTACAGGAATGGCCTGCGGCTCCCCCCCACCTGGCCTGGCAGAGGCCTGGCACCTTTCCCCTTGCCCAGGGTCCCTGAGGGGGATTTGGCAGTCTCTGACACCTGCCTTTGAGGTCGTCCTTGTTTGTTTGACAAATGCTTCTGACCTTCCTCAGAGTCACACAGAGGAACCTCTGCAGTCATTTCATCCTTTCTCAAACATTTACACAACATAAGACCACCTGACCTCTGTTCCCTTGTCCAGCTTGGGACCTTTGAACACATTCGCCCTGCACAGGACGTTTCAAGGCCTGGTTAGACAGTGGTTGTATAATATTTGACTAGCGGGCACCTCTTGGTACTCACATGTAAAGTATCTGAGAATTCCAACCAAGACAAGCCGTGCCAGTGGTTTGGGTGGCAGAGCCCACCGCTCTCCGTGGTAGGTCACTCAGTCCCCACGTCCAGCCCTAGCTCCCGCTCTGGGGCTCACCGGAATGCTGTCACAGCTTCCAGGGGAACCCCGCCTTCAGCGTCTGGCCCTTCACTGCAGCTGCCCCACTCCTGCCCAGACAGGCGTGCTGCTTGACGACCTTCAGGAGTTCCCCAGTGTCTCCAGGTCAGGCGTGACGTCCTCGCTGTGGCCTGGGAGGTCCGGCCCAGACCTGCCCGTAGCTGGGTCCTCCCACGCCATGATCCTCTTGGTGTAGCCCTGTTCCATTCAGACCAGATGTTGCTGTTCCCTGAACATAGCCTGTGCTTTGTAGCATCCACCTGGCTCCTGAAGTTGACTTGGACTGGCTTTGTCCCTTCCCTCTGTGATAAAATCCCAGTCCCCTTTGAGTGTACACCTTCGAGATTCGCTCCATAAAGCCATCCTTACTTCTGGTCCTTTGTCCTGTGCCCAGATCCAGCCACCTGGGAGCATCTCTGATCGCCTCTGCTGAAGCCATCTCCGCACAAGCATTTGGATTCTCTTTCTTTTTGGGTTTTTTATTATATTCCACTTTGTTTTCTGTTTCTGTGAGTACTTGTTTTACTGCTTCTAGGAACCTATAAAAACACAGAAAGCAAAGAACCTGTCTTTCTCACCCCCCCGTCTTTCTTAGTACCCAGCACAGTGCCCGGCACACAGTGGGAACTCCCTAAGTGTTGGTGTGAGTAAACGAATCCCACCTGCATGTGTGGACGGGCTCGTCTGCTCAGTCCAAGCAGGAGGTGGACAGGTATCTGCCTTCCCTTGAGAAAGCCATGGTAAACCTCATTTTGAAACAAAATAGGATCAAGCCCGACTTTGGCAGAACAGAGCCAGGATACTACCAGATCTGGAAAGGGCAGGTGGGTAAGACTGCAGCCCAGACCTGGGAGAACACTGCAGGTGGCTCAGGCCACTTGGTCCAGCGAAAGAGCACCTACTCTTAGCCTGTGGGGTTTTTGTTCTTGGAAGCCCCATATTCCTTGTTTCACAGAGCAAACACAGAGAGTGCTTACATATTTATGCTGTTAACTGCAAAACTCTGGGAAACTTACCCCCCTTGGAGATAAGTGAGATTATTTCCACCAGAGAAATTAAGTGACTCCCTTAAGACATGCAGCTAGTATGAGGCCGAATTAGGATTTGAACTTGTGGTTCTGAGGACATGGCCCATATTCTTAAGCATTTCCTCACATCTGTGATGCACGGTGATAGTTCCCAGTGTGATGTTGGAAAGAGGGGATGCAGATGAGAACTAAGACGAAGGTGACCACCTCAGAGGCAGCGAGCCTGGAGGATTCAGAAGGCTGGGAAGAGAAGAAAAGGCAAGAGAAGTGACAGCTTTCATTTTGGGGGCAGAGGTTGTGACAACTCCCAGGGACTTGGAGATATGGGTAAAGCTATCCTTTGGAGAAAGGGACTGACACTGACAGCCGCTGTGAGCCCACCCTGCATGGGCACCTGACCTGTCAGTCTCATCAGCCGTCCCCTGGGGCAGGTGGGATGTCATTTTACAGTTGAGGAAATGGAGGTTCAGCAAAGTCAAGCCCTTAACTCAAGGTCACACAGCTGTTAAGAGGTGGGACCAGGATTCAGATACCCAGTGTTTGCTTCCACATGTGTTTAGTAGAACCTAGGTTTTATTTGAAGCAAAGTACCTAATTTTCTTTGGCCCTGAAAAATAAGTTTTAATTTTGCTTTTCCTATTTAAAAAACGAAAACATCTCATCCTATTTAAAAGCTTTGTTTCCCTGCCTCCTGATGGATGTGACAAGTTTGTAATGAACTTCAGGATCTTCAGTGAGAGACAATGAGAGGCCAGAGGTGCTGAGGGCTGAGGAGAGGCTCCAGGGTGGTTTGGCTGGGGAGGTCACCAAGTGGAGGGTCAGGTCTCAACAGGTGGCTTGAGGTGACTACAGGAATGGCCTGCGGCTCCCCCCCACCTGGCCTGGCAGAGGCCTGGCACCTTTCCCCTTGCCCAGGGTCCCTGAGGGGGATTTGGCAGTCTCTGACACCTGCCTTTGAGGTCGTCCTTGTTTGTTTGACAAATGCTTCTGACCTTCCTCAGAGTCACACAGAGGAACCTCTGCAGTCATTTCATCCTTTCTCAAACATTTACACAACATAAGACCACCTGACCTCTGTTCCCTTGTCCAGCTTGGGACCTTTGAACACATTCGCCCTGCACAGGACGTTTCAAGGCCTGGTTAGACAGTGGTTGTATAATATTTGACTAGCGGGCACCTCTTGGTACTCACATGTAAAGTATCTGAGAATTCCAACCAAGACAAGCCGTGCCAGTGGTTTGGGTGGCAGAGCCCACCGCTCTCCGTGGTAGGTCACTCAGTCCCCACGTCCAGCCCTAGCTCCCGCTCTGGGGCTCACCGGAACGCTGTCACAGCTTCCAGGGGAACCCCGCCTTCAGCGTCTGGCCCTTCACTGCAGCT